GGTATTGACGTAGAATTAGTGTTACGAGAATCTTGACTATACACTGCATTTCGTTATAGTGGTGTTTCTGCAAAACAGTTTTAAAGTTATGCTGATCAAACCAATCATAGTTTCTTGAGATACCTATTTTTACGTATCGCATGATACGCGTGAAGACTCGAATGTGTACAAGAAGGCTACGGGAACGAGTACAGTTACACGAACACATTCACATATATGGTTATGAGTTAACGTAAATACTTTTACAGTATGTATTGCGCATAGCAGTTTCTATAAAAAAATTAGAACTACAACTTAATAAAAATATTTGATCACATGTACATATACACACACATTCTTTGAATACAAATATACAAGTAACACGTGTTACACGTAGTAAGTTATATATATATACATTAATAATTCATTCACATCCTATGACGCTGTGTAGTTCGTTGAGGACATAAAGATAAAAATATTGACTCTTTTAAGCATTTTCCTTTTCTTTCTGACACATGGTTTATAAATCATTTTATTATTTATGACTAGAGCAGCGAAATATTTCATCGTATGAAAGTGATGGACAGCTTTGATGCTGCTGATTTAAACAGCCAACAAGCTGAACAGTCCACGTGGAGACGCTTTGTGTCACTTTGAATAGAAGTTTATATGGTACAGTCATATCAATAGTTTGCAACTGTTAGCAATATCTGTAAATAAACGAAACTGAAACCAGGGAAGAATAGCACATATTCATTATTTCAGGTGGGCTAATCACTATTGATGCTCCCAAAAAGATGCTTTCAAGCTGATTGATAAAAAAAAAAGATGCACGCCACAAATGATCGTTAAAAGAATGAATATCCAGGGTCATTGAAAGCAGTAGCCATTTGTTGCCATGGAAATGTGTCGGTGTATGGCCATTTGTAGTGTAAGAGTTTGCAACCAGAAGTGCATCAAGACACCAACCAACCACTGAACGTAAGAAGTGAAGCAGCCGATACACGCTAACTATATAGTATTTTAAAACCAACGCTATCAAGGAAAATAGATTGTTTGTTTGTTTGTTTTTAATTTCGCGCAAAGCTACACGAGGGCTATCTGCGCTAGCCGTCCTCTAGTGTAAGACTAGAGGGAAGGCAGCTAGTCATCACCACCCACCGCCAACTCTTGGGCTACTATTTTACCAACGAATAGTGGGATTGACCGTCACATTATAACGCCCCCACGGCTGAAAGGGCGAGCATGTTTGGTGGGACGGGGAATCGAACCCACGACCCTCAGATTGCGATTCGATTTCATATGCTTTCTAAGCTGCACGTTGGTGACGAACTAGCAAAGCAGAAAGTTAGGGTTAACGAGAGACATTTTGACCTCTTATGATTTATTTTCTGAACAAATACGCTTGTTTTGATATTCAGTTGAATTGATATTATTTACTCATATAAAGAATAACCTTTTCAAACAACTTATATATCACCTTTTTAATGCCAATTGTATGTAATATTTTGCTATATTTTTCCCCGATAGGTTTATAAAGTGTTTATAATTTTTGTGGCCATAAATAAATATATATATATAACAAAAGAAAACACATTTTTTTATTATATAAGAAACACGATTTGATGGATGTTGATGCAAAGGTAATTTTGTGTTTGCTCAAAACAGGAATGAAGAAAAGCAAATAATCGAAAATAATAGTAAAATGACGACAACGTAAAATGCATAAAACTTAAGTTATTAAGCCTAGTATGAGCAGGAGCTTCATATATGGGGATCGTCTGCATATTTCCTAAAATACTAAAAATCGTTCTATAAATATATGAAAAAAGTTCAATTATTGTTCATTAAAGAAAAATCTGAATAAACGAAGACATATCCTAACCCTCTATAGATTTTATAAAACATATAATAAAATTAAACAAATAAGCCGCCTGTCCTTTTTTTATATTGTATTTGCTTTTTAAATTTCTTATACTAAGCAGGAGGTAGACGTATCCCGCTGACTAGGCGGACCACAATAATGAAAACCTTCTCCGTAGCAGAAACGAGATTTTCCAGACCACTGGTCAGGTCATACGCGTGAGAAGATCATACCTATATAGCGCGTGCTTTCAACACGCTATTTGAAATATCACGCGTGTTAAATTCAATATCGAATCAATTCATGGGAGAAAAAAAAAAAAGTAGTACCGAGTTTGAAAGCTACATACACATCATAGTTCACGTTACAACTAGGAGATACTAAAGTTGCCAAAATGTTTTCCCTTTTATACTATAAGCTAGGCATTCAGGCTTACATGCTTTCGGCAAAGGTATTTTCAACTACAGACAAAATAAAGAGATAACGCAAAACTTAAAAACTCTATACCTAGATTAACGTGGGCTAATGCGTGTGGAATTACTCTGTTCTTTGTTGGTTTTTTTTCAGTCGTACTTTCGTTGTTTCTGTGCTTTGCTCTGGAGAAGATATTTTGAGGAATATCTTAATGAGAACGATAGAAAGCCAAACCAGCATGTGAGTGAAGAACAGTAGCTAAAGCAACGGTCGTTTGGGCATTTCTTAAATTGCTTTATGATGGAAAAAGTAGATCACACTTGTGTGCACCGTGTTCTGCTGAGTTTGTCAAGTAGAGACTGATTACACATGAATGTCGTAACAACTGTCTCTTTGCCATTTTGTCCACACACCAATGAAGATCGGTTAGTTTCATCCAATGAAAGATGGTTAGTTTCGTCCAATGTAGAATGGTTAGGCTCATCCAATGAAAGATGGTTAATTTCATCCAATGTAGGATGGTTAGGTTCATCCAATGAAAGATGGTTAGTTTCATCCAATGAAAGATCGGTTAGTTTCATCCAATGAAAGATGGCTAGTTTTGTCCAATGTAGAATGGTTAGGCTCATCCAATGAAAGATGGTTAATTTCATCCAATGTAGGATGGTTAGGTTCATCCAATGGAGGAGGGTGAGGTTCATCCCATGTAGGATGGTTAGGTTCATTTAATGGAGGATGGTTAGGTTCATCCAATGTAGGATGGTTAGGTTCATCCAACGTAGGATGGTTAGTTTCATCCAATGTAGGATGGTTGGTTTCATCCAATGTAGGATGGTTAGTTTCATCCAATGTGGGATGGTTAGTTTCATCCAATGTAGGATGGTTAGTTTCATCCAATGAAGGATGGTTAGGCTTAAATAAATCAGTGGAGGATGGATAAGTTAAAGCAAACCAGTGGAGAATAATTAGTTTTAACTAGTAGAGAATGGTTAGATTTAAACAAAGCAGTGGAGGATGGTTTGTTTCCAGACAAACTAATGGAGGATGGCTAGATCCAAGACAAACTAATGGAGGATGGCTAGATCCAAGACAAACTAGTGGAGGATGGTTAGATTTAAACAAAGCAGTGGAGGATGGTTTGTTTCCAGACAAACTAGTGGAGGATGGCTAGATCCAAGACAAACTAGTGGAGGATGGTTAGATTT